GATTCTCACACACTCTAATGTCTCCAAAAATGTGATCTTTGCTACCTAAAAACATATATTAGACCTAACTAACTACTTGATGTTGAAGTTCCATTTTGATTTTGATTTTGATTTTGGCCATAACTTTTATCAAAATAGATTTTGGCCACAACTTTTATCAAAAGAATAACTTAGACCGTATGGCTAAACTAAAAATAATTTGGTTTCGAACTCAACTTATGCGGCATTTGGCGTAGAATTTAAGGTATTGTTGCCCCTTGTGTGGTGTATTGTACCAAAAATCACACTCCCTCCGTCTCACTTTAGATTACAATATTCCCTTTTAGCTGAAATTAAGAAAGAGTCAGATCAAATTTTTTTCCCCCAAATTACCCCCCAAATAGTGTGAATAGTGGCTGGCAGAAAAGAAAAGGGAGGGTAAAAGAGTCAAATCACTATAAAGTTATTGACTTTGTAATCCTTTTTGGGACAAAAATGTGAGGGAATATTGTAATCTATTTCGGGACGGAGGGAGTATGCATGAATATTTGAGCGTTTGCCAAGCATACCGATCTGACTACAATTCTAATATTGTTATTTTTATATTTTTATTTTGTGTTTGTATTTTTTTTTGTATCTTAAAATTAATTATTTAAGAAGTTAAAAATTATTTAACAATGTTTTCTAGTATTGGTAATCACTCCATGTGTATCATTAAATCATACAATTTTATTTTATTAAACATCTCATAGAGTCTGATGGGTGTATTTCACCCAAGACCGGTCAAAGGAGAAGGCCGAATCTTTGACCGGTCAATCTCGAAAGTTTTGGGAGGGAGACTTAAATCGTCAGCAAAATGATATATCATCGGCCAAAATATGACCGGTACACTTCACAAAAAGTATACCGGTCAAACTACGTTGTCATCCTATTTGTTTCAGACTTCGATAAATTCATCCCTCGGAGATTACCCGGTGTAGTTTCTGGGGTTGGAAAGTGTCGGCAGAAGAGGATCTGCGAGGGTTTGGCGTGTAGCGACCCGTGTCAGTAGAGGACAACTGGAGATGCTGAAGAATCCATCCAAGGCGCTACTCGACAAAGGGAATGATCCCCCTCACAAGGCGATAAGGCAGCTCGAGGACGAAACCAGTCACCTCGCACCACATCAGCAGCATGCCCCCACGTGGGCGCACGTGGTCCTGTCCCCTTAGCCTAGTATAAATACTCATGTAAACCTCAGAAAGAGGGATCCGAATTCACTCTCTCTAAACTCCCTTGTAAAAGCACCCGTGCATTCTCCGCCATAATATAAATGGGGCTACAGGTGTTCCACCTAAAGTCCTACCGGTCAATTTGCGTGTTTTTACCTTTCTTACTTTGCCAAATCAAGCGAACTATTCTAGACCCGGTCTAGTATAGTTTGACCGATCAAGTAATTTACACCATCAGAGTCAAATCCAAACCACTTATTCATGAAAGATTGGAAGTTTAACAAACATTTTAAAGTTATTTTATATTATTGGTTGGCGAATTAGATTGTAATAAAAAAAGTACTCTCTCTTTTATGAAATGAATGCAACTGTCACTTTTAAAGCATCTCGATAATTTTTATTTACTTGTATATATTTTCAATGTGATCTTTGGTACCCTAAAGCATACATTATAGATTGATAACTAGGTTGATGTTGAAGTTCGATCTGATTTTGACCACAACTTTTGTTGAAATAGATTTAAATGTGATCGATCAACGTAACTTTCACCATATTCTTTCATAAACACTAGTACTAGAAAGTAAAGAATAAGATAGACAGTATCGCTAAACTAAAAACAATTTGGAATCAAATTCAACTTATGCCGCTATTGGCATAGAAAGGTAACGTTACCCCTTGGGTGCTGCATAGTACCAAAAATTATAAGTATGATTATTTAAGTGTTTGTATATTTTTGAATCTTGAAATTATTTTTTTCAAAATTTAAACTTTAGTTGACAATGTTTTCTAGTATAGGTAATTACTCCATTAAATCATTTTAAATATAATAATACAATTTTATTTTATTAAACATCTTAGAGAGTCAAATCCAAACCACTAATTCATAAAAGATGGAAAATTTAATAAGCATTTTTCTTTTATTTCATATTATTGGTTGGAGTTAAATATTTTAAAAATATTTAAAAACAAATTAATATTATGGATTTAATTTATTTATTTAAAAAATCATTGTAATAGGGCGGCGAATTAGAATGTATGTACACCCCACCTCGTAATAAAAACGGACTCCATACATCCTGGAATGGATACCACTGTTACTATTATCGTCTCTCGGTAATTTTTTTTATTTGTATATTCTCAATTTCTCATGTATAATTTGATAAAATAAAATATTCTTGTCACATCTTGTTTTATTGATTTTTGTGCATTTTAAGCGGTGTTGTTTATACTTTTTAGTCCTATGCTAACCTATAATTAAAATGATTTTAAAAACAGTAGAATTTTTCACGTTGTTTAGAGTGTTGTATTCAATATGGGATGGAGAGTATAAAATTAAGAAAATACGATGTGACACTATAAAATGTTCCGACATAAAGGATATTTATACCTAAGTGTGATCTCAACTTTCACTATATTCCTCTGACAATTATATATTGTCTCGTGTTTGTAAGTGTATTTAAAGAGATAAGGTGAAAATTATTGGAGTCATTTCTATATTTTCTCCGTCACAAAACATTCTTCCTGCTTTGTTTTTTTTCGTCCTAAAACTACATTCCACTTCCAAAATAAGGTTATACAATGACTAATATACCCCCTTTCACCATTTACTCCCAAGCTTCTCACTTTTAGGCCAATCTCTTCCATGATTTAGGTCTAATCTTCGCTGCGCCCAAACCTAGGTGAGGCCTATTGTTTCCTCACCCCTGTTCTTGAGTTCAAGTTTGAATATGAAAGTGATGAGATCAGATATGAGATCTACGCCTTGAAGCTCTTTCCTGGATCTGATTATAACTGAAGTTTTTGTTTTTGGAATTTTTATTTCTGTAATGATTATGGTTTAGATCTTGTTAAAATCTTTGGTTTTCGAATCCTTTTGGATTTCATTTTGACGTGGGATGTATGATTTTTACAATCGCAATTCACTTAAATAATATTAAAATATAATGACTTTTTATAAATAACATCATATGTATTTTTTTCCTAGTCATTATGTATTAATCATTATTCAAATAAATATTTGCCGTCACTGGATATTATTATGTGCTATTTATGAAAAAACAATTTAAGTGCTATTTATGAAAATAGCATAAATTTTAGTGCTATTTAGTACAAATGTTTCTTTTTTACAATTGGTCTATTTATAAGTTTCTAAAAAACAAGGGCAAGCTTGGAAAGTCAATGCAAATTTTGTACTCGCTTAAAAATATGAGCTCCGATCAAATTGGAAAGAATGTTTTATAAATTGACAAGATCAAAGGGATAGATGATTGCAACTCAAAGGAGCAGAGGAACTACAAAGTAATGCAGATATATTTATTTGACCTGGTAAAAATTGAAGAACCGAGGATATATTTACTTGACTTGGTAAAATTTAAAGAAATAAGTATACATTTATTTGAATACTCATTCCATTTCATATCCTTTTTTTCATTTCATTTTACGGTTAATTTTTTTACTTTGATCATGAGTTATGGTGAAACTATGTTGAGTCGTGTAATATATTCAATATTAATTAGATTCATTTTGATACATTTGTTTACAATATCACATTTTTATTAGCTATGAATATATACAAATAGAATATTTGACGTAATTTCAATATATAATGCATGTAATTTATGTTTTTTATTTCTATAGCAAATTGTTACGAGTAATATAATAACTTTAAAATAAAATAAATGAGGGTTTGCATGTTATTCAAAGTGAAACCATTATTTTAAAACAAAAAGAGTGATTAATAAACTCGATAATTACAAAATTAGGCCACCCTATAAAACTTGGGCCTGGAGCAATTCCTCGTTGTGTTCAGCCAAATTGGGCCACCCTACAAAATTTGGGCCCTGCGCAATTGCTTATGAGTTACTCCGTGTGACGTTCCTGTTTTAGTCTTGCATAACGTCCATATCGACACAGACATAAGCTTTGTTGGGAAGAACATTTTTTATTAGCGTTAACATTTTAGATAAAATTTTAATAGTATAGATTAACTCTGGAATCGCTAATTTTAACGACTATCGTGGGATAGCCTTTTCGAAACGCTAACGCTAATGTCTAACGCTAATGTCAAACGAGGCTATATACTCCATCCAATAATATGGAGACATCGATCAAATGTAAACATATCGTTTCTAAGAGAGGTTCTAGCGACATTTGACTTCAATGTCGTACTATTACCTAAGCTCCAATTGAAATTCTTACGACATATTGTTTTTCTATTCTATTTATTGTTTACTGAGAAACTCTCAGAGTGTCTATTTTGAAAAATTGACGGTTCCTATTCCTTAACAATTATCGATAAACGCCTCGCCTTTCCCGACATGAACTAACCCGCACCGTTCTTTAATTGCGCTCCCCAATTTTAGTGTATTTTGGTTTTTAATTTAGCACGAATTCTTACAAAACCGCTAAAGTAACCTCACATTGGACACCATAACACCTTACAAACATACACAAGTTCTCTCTAATAATGCTTGTATACTTACGAAAAACACTATAACATCAAAAAATGTGTCGAGTGCATCAAGAGATGTATGTCACTTGATTGAGCAAAAAAGTGTCTAAATTTAATCCATGACAACTGCATTTACTAAGCGCAAGCTAACTCTTATTAATCAGTTTGTGATTAAAACTCATACTATCTCTTCTCAAATGTTTGGCCGGTCAATTCTTAAAGCACCATATGGGGTTTTTTTAGGACCGTGCTACAGTGCTCCACCCACGCATCTACCGCATTTACATATGACAATACGGATGGTTTTATACTTGCACTGACGATAATTATCCGTGAACAACACAAATAATTATCGTCTTAGGGTATAGAATCGTCTATTATCTTTGATAAAGGATGAGCTCCATTTCCGAGGACCTCTTCAGACCCGGCCAAACGGTCAATGAGAGAAAGTAAATTAAACTTTAATCGTTTGGTGAGAAACAGTGGAGCATATATTATCTTTGATGAAACTATGAGTGATTAGTTTTATCTCTCCATTTTTTTTTAGTGTCTAAGTGTAGAACTTCTAGAGGAGCTGTGATTACCTTATAGAGGACTCATCCTAACATTACATTCAAAACCAAGGCCACTATCCAGCACAGATTGAGGCGCGTGTTGGCACATCACTTTAAAAGGGCACCCGCTCACCACTCTCTCCCGCACGTGGTACTCCACCAACCCTGAAAGCCACACATCCAGCGTCAGCACGCGCCGCGCCGAATTCGACACCAGATCGTCGCCGTCCGCTTCCTCGATTTCCAGCGCCTCCACGCGGGACCGCACCGCCACCCCCGTCGTGTTCCGCGCCTCCTGGCGGAACGCGGCCACCTCCGATCGCGCTAGATTCACGCCGTCCAGCGCCACGTCCGCCGTCAGCGGCCCGTACACGAACCAGATCTTGCCGTTTGCGTTCGTCACGTTGAGAACGACGGTGACGTCGGCCGCCAGCGTGGCGTCGCCCTTCGCGTCCTTCCCGACGGTCACGCTGTGGACCTCGAGGTTTTTTACGAAGACGCGTGGCACGTTGGCCACGAGGAAGGAGTAGAAGACGAGGGAGCAGGCGAGGGCGAAGAGGGCGGCGGCGCCGATCGCGAGTGAAGTCCACGCGCAGCATTTGGTGCAGCGCGGCCGGCACTTCCTCCTCTGAGCCTCGGCGTCGTCGCCGGAGCTGTAGTAGCTGCCGACGCTGCTCGGGGCGGGGGACGGCCGGTAGGGAGTTTTTTGGCGCTTGAAATTTCCGCCGCCGGCGACAGTCATCGGAAAACATATACACCTGTGACGAAACCTAACTGGGGATTATTCCACAGCTTAACTAACGGCTGTGAGATCACATCGAGAGGACAATTAAAAGTGAGTGATTAATTATAATTTGATTTATTATTAATTAGTTGATGTATTAGTCCTATTAATATGGATCGCCCCATGATTAATTTCTGGCACTTGAAAGTTTAACTTCATAACAATGCGCAATCCTTCACACTAGCACAAGAATAGCATTTTTACATGCACCACACACACTAAAATATAGTACTTCTTGGTCATCATATTCTTTGATTAAAAACTACGTTTGAACTTTTACTTCATTAAAACATAATTTGTCGTATTTGTTAATTGTTTTAGAAGTGCTTTTAGTAAAGCTACAACTATATCTTTTTTTGCTTCTAGTTAAAAATTTTGTTTTTTAACTATCTACTACACTCCCAAACGCTCTCATAGAAACGTCTGGAGATAAAAAAAAATTATAGTACAAATGTTTAAGCATTTGTAACCTAGTTTTCTAATAGGTAACAAAAAATGTCTCTATATTAAGGTTAATACAACAATACAACAAACAACCGACTCTGTAAAATGGCAAGAATGAGAATTGGGGGTGTTTTAAACAAAGGTTACAAAAATAACATAACAATGTACACCAATGATTAAAACTAGTCATGGGGGTCAAGCATAGCCTAATATTGCTATAAAAACATTGACATCCAACCACACTTTAACAATCATTAAATCTTCAAAAAGGTAATGGCCAAATAGAGCACAAATGACAAACTTTATTTAATGTTGAAATTTGAACATTATCATAATCACACTTTCACCACCTGAAGTCCAAGAAGATGATTTTGCCTGCACTTGCAGCATTTCACAAATGTGTTGCAGATATAAAAGAAGAAGAAGAAGAAGAAGAAGCTCTTGATGGTTCCATCCATAGTGAGAAAAGAATAAGAATGAAATTGATTGTGAATTCTTTACTAGGAAAAAAAGGTAAGATTAAATTTAAGAGACTCACAATAGAGAGGTGGGGAATCAAGGGGTTGTCGTTGTTGTCGTCACATCTGAATCCTTCCTTGAGTCGGATTTCTTCACGTTTTCAGAGTATGCATTTTGAACTTCTTCAAGCATTCTAACGACTTCGTCCATGTTAGGCCTCATCTCAGGAACCCTCGCAACGCACGCCATGGCAATTTGCAGCATCTGAACCATCTCTTCCTCTGCACTCTGAAACCTCATCAAATCGGCATCAAACACCTCAGCTGTCCACTCTTCCCTGACTACTGACTGGACCCACCTTGGGAGATCAACCAGGTCATCCCCACGCCTGGGCGATTGGATTGGAAGTTTCCCGGTGAGCATCTCCAGGAGCAGGACACCGAAGCTGTAAACGTCTGATTTGTGTGTGTGCTTACGTGATTCGATCACCTCCGGGGCCCGGTATCCGGGCTGATTCGGAGCTCCGGAGAAGCTCATGAGAGGGGCCAGGCCAAAATCAGAGACACAAACATCAAAATCTTGGTTGAGAAGGATGTTTGAGGACTTTATGTTTCCATGGGTGAATTTGGCACCACCCATGTGGTGGATATGGGATATCCCCTTTGCTGCAGCAAGGGCTATCTTGACTCTAGTTTCCCAGTCCATAGATGTTCCTCCTATTGCCTTGTTTACTGTAAAAGATTGAAAATGTATAAGCATGTGGTTAAAATTGTATTATCCCCCAAACCCCAAACACAGGCTCATAAGACTTACAAATTATTGAAAGGGAGGAATCAGGGAGTACAAACATACCATGGAGAAGCGTGGACAAACTGCCTCTTGAGAAAAAATCATAGACTAAAAGCTTCTCGTCCTTGGAATAATAATAAGCACGCAAAGGCGTGACATTAGGGTGTTGTTGTCCAACCCTACCAATGGTTTCCATCTGCTGTTCGAACTCCCTCTTCCCAACTATCACATCTTTCAGACGCTTGACGACAACTGTTGTTGACTCCTCCAGAATGGCCTTGTATGCCGTACCAAAACTCCCCTTCCCCATCACTTCGGCCGAGGCCCTCAGTAAGTCCTCAAGATCAAAGTTATACGAGCATCCTTCAAAGAAAACCAACTTGTTTTTCTCAGCCTCCTGTACCCCGCTGCCGAACTCTTCACTTGGTTTATCATTCCTTCCTCTGTTTAGAGGCTTTCCTTTGGGAGCACATCTGGGATCTCTCTCCTTTTTCTTCAGGCAGCACAAGAAAATGAATATAGCTACTATAGAGAGTGACACAGCCCCACTAGCTGCAATGGCAATTATAACCCCCGATTTAAGCTTCTTGTGGCTTTTGTTTTTAGCAGAAAGAGCATCGGGGACATTGGATGGAGGTTGGAGAGGGGAACATGACATTAAAGGTAACCCACACAACAATGAGTTGCCCTCAAATGAAGATTTGGGGAAGCTTTTAAGGGATGACGGGATAGAACCATCAAGTTGGTTGTTACTCAAATTCAAATGTTGAAGTCTTGGGAGCCTGAAATTGGGTACAGGTCCAGAAAGGAAGTTATTTTGGAGGTTCAATCCTATCAGTTGAGTCAAATTCTGAAACACGGCAGGAACAACACCGCTGAAGGAATTATTTGAAAGATCCAAAACGTTTAGTTGATGGGAAAACGTGGTAGGGATATGACCGGAGAAGTTGTTATTTTGAAGGAAAAGGTATTGTAGAGATGGAAGAGAAGCGAGGTCAGAAGGAAGACTTCCATTTAGAAAATTGGCACGAAGACTAAGAACCATCAACGCGTCTAGTTTTCCAAGTGTCTTTTCAGGGATGGGACCAGTGAGCCCAAACCCCGGGAGTCGAACAGCAACCACGCGGGGACCCACACCTTTGCTGCAGATAATGCCCACCCAAGATGAACACATGGGGCTTGCTGGATTCCAGTTGATCATGCGGCCATGGGGTACAGAATTTGTAAACGCAAGAAGGGTTTGTTCATCCGAGCTTAAATCGCCAATAGCTTGCGCAACAAATGTTGCTATAAGGGAAAGGGAGCAAAGACAGTGGTAAATGTAGCAGATTTTCATGTTGAGACTTCCTCTCATATTAAAGGAATGCCCTTAGTATATTTCCTGCAACGATATCAGGGGTACAGGTACACAAAAAGAATATGAACGAGGAACACATTAGATTTGATTAGTTGAAAATACAAATTGAAATGTATGTGCAAGTAAATTTACACAAACCTTAAGTGTTCAAAGTTCTAACAGCAAAAGCTAGTTTTTTTAATCAAATAATCATTGCTCAAATAAAAAGAAGTAAACACAAAAGCATAACATGGCAGGTGGAGAACAAAGGCCAAATGGGGCCTTTGTTTTATTTCTTTAACACCAAAAACTCATTTCTTTAACACCAAAAACACCACAAATGTATGTGCTTGAGGGAACTAGATGACAATAATGAAACATCTCCTACTAAACGAAGAGAAAAAGGACGGCATATGAGTATAATCCGTATATATATGAGCCGCGCGCCATGGCCCCTTTATATAGTCATTGACTCGTAAACAGGCAGAAAGTTTCTACAGAGAGCGCCTTCATTCTACCACACATGATGGAGAAACTTCTACACGATGTTTGGTTCAAGGAATTTGGAAGGAAATGAAAAGAAAACAATTTTCTCTCATTTTCCTCGTCAAAGTGAGAAAAATTTGGTTTTCCCCTCTCTTAGTACAATTGGCTTTCTCATTTTTTATTCCTTCCACTTTTTTTTCTTTTCTTCTCTAAACAAACATGAAAAATTTATTACTCCCTCTTTTCTCCCATTTGATTCTTCTCATTTCCTAAAATAAAACACCCTTAAACTTTCCATTTACCCTTTTTTTCTCTCTACCCCCCTCTTCTTCTTCCTCTCCAACTCCCTCTGCGTCAGACCTTCCCCCACCCTGTCTTCTTGTTCTTCTTCTTCCCAAACCTCTGTTCTTTTCTGAAAGAATTATTTGGGAGGAAATTCTCTGTATTTCTCTCTTGTCTTTACAATTTACAATGAGGACATATATAAGATCTCACAAGTTAAGACTTCTAATAATAAGTAAAGGAAAAGGAAAGAATATATACACAAATATCTCCAAATATTCTACCAAATATTCTCTTTCCTTTAACATTTTCCTTTAGCCCCCCTTCTTCTTCTTCTTCCTCTACCCCCCTGTGCGTCNATTTCTCTGCAATCCCTTTGAATTTCGTCTCTGGCTAGCCATCGTGAAATAAGGCAGCATTTGAATTGAGGCAATTGGGTACAGTTGTGGTTTGGGGAAGTCATCTACCATCAATTCGACGTTTGAATTTGTTTGAATAAGAGATTGCCTCGATTCAGTGTTTTTTTAAGTACGATTCAGTGTTTTAATTCATTTGAATTGTCTAACAAAGCTTCAGGTCTGGTGAAGTGATTTTGGAAAGTCGTGGAACAAAGTTTTAGATCTCAATAGCGAGGATTTGTGAAGGGTCATTTGGGAGAAGTCAATGCACTTTATATTATATTAAAGGGATGCTACGGGTACATCAAAAGGTGTTTTTATTTATTTATTTCTTGTTTATTTGATTTGCCAATATATGTGGTATTAAAGGGATGATGTACATTTGGGATACACGTTTCATGTACCCCTAACACTTTTTTATACTCCTTCCGTCCCTAAATAGATTACAATTCTTTTTTCTCTCCTCTCGATAACTTGTGTTTGTTTACGCGATTTCATTAAGTATTTGATAAAATAAAATATTCTTGTCACCTCTTGTTTTGTAAAACTTTTGATGTAGTTTTTTAATATGTAATTTTTATATCTTATTGATATACTAATTTTTAAATAAAATGATTTTAAAAAGTAGAAAATTTTATTACGTAACTCGCAATTTGTAATCAAATTGGGGACGGAGGAAGTATTAAATCCCGTGTCAAGTCGGTTTGAAGTTTGAGGAAGGAAGTAATAATTGAAGTGTTACATTATTTGGAGTACTTAAAAAAGATAAGAGTTAATTTTTTGTGATTTTAAGGTCCTCATATGAAATGTAAACTTTTTATCAGCTAGGAGTTAGATGTATTCATTTATGCAAAGAGTTGCTCTTTCGGGGTCGTAAGGTCAATGTGAACCTTCAAAAAATTTTTATAGGCCAACAAATAAATATTTTGTTATTTTGGGAAGGACTACTTCTTTTATAATATCAATCCACTAAGATTCAACTAAGAGTACTGGAAATGATAATGAAGCTCCGAGACTTCACTGCCACATCAGCTTTAACTTATACCAAAATTTCACTCGAAATGGGTTTGAAGCCCTCGGGCTTCAAACTGAGGCTTCAAATCTCTATTTTTTACATTTTTGAATACACATTTTCTAAAATTAAATTAATAAATATTGTTATTTAATTAAATTTAAACGACAATAACTCATTAATTAAAAAAATTACATTCAATAAAAAATTACATTAATATAATAAGATTTGAATAAAATGATGATCTCATTTTTTGAATATTTTGTGGAGATAATTAAAAGAAATATAATTTATTTTAAAGGAATTATGAAGATAATAAGAATAAGTTGTGTGTTTGTTGTGTTAAAAATAAGTGTATTTATAATATTGAAAATATTTTTTTTAAAAATTAATGCCCAACGGTCCAAATTATGGCCGTTGGGGGAGGGAGAACCATTGAAAGAGGGAGCAATGTTACATCAAAGATTTAACGCAAACTTTTTAACGCCCTTAAAGGGGCCGTGTTTAACGCCCCAATGCCTAAAAACTCACTTAAGGCCCTTGGGCTTTGCTACCGTGGCCTAACATAAACAACATTACGCAACAATTTGTCTGTGTTGTGAGAAAAAGGCTCAATATTTTTGTTATTTCTACACTAACCGCTCGAAATCAAACACCGAAACTCCACACAATGATCAGTTCCACCCTCAGATCTGGAATTATAAGTCTCCGCAAATAACCTCGAACGGAGAAATCCAGAAAACAAATCGAGAGAAATGCAAATGAAATTTACATACAGTACCTTGAAGCAATTGCTGATCGAAAACAATGGCGTCTCTGTAAGTACTGCTTCCCCGCACTACAGGGAATCGAGATCGAAGCCTGAGCCAGGAGCCTAGGAGTTTGAATTCGCCGACGACGCCTCGAACCTTGCAATCGATCAGACGCACGAATCCGCGGCGGAACGCCGACTGCATTCCCGACGAGACGGACGGTTAACTGATATCTTCTAGCTTAGTAGTAAACTCCAATGAGTGAGAGAGTGAAGAAGAAGAAGAAGAAGATCGCAGGATTAAGTTGAATTTCGAACAAAAAAGGAGAGAGGAGAAATGGTGGTTGAAATTCGGGGAAGAAGAAGAAGAGTCCAGTAGTGTTTCTGTTCGCCCACGTTGAGAGAGTTGGAAAGTGGGAAGAGAGGAAAGCCGGGGCGGGCGGGCGGGGCGGGCGTGGCTTTTGGATTGGATTATGCTATGTCTACCCTAAGATTTGTACCCCGCAGTTTTGCACAAATACTTTGTGTTGGTGCAAAACTAATTTTTATTAAACGCACCAACATTTGTGTCCATGTGAATTTTTATTAACGCACTAACACTTGTGTTGTTGTAAAACATCGAAATGTTTGTGAAAACCTGTGGTATACAAATGAGGTATATTTTTTGGTGTAAGTGTAACATGGTCCTTTTGGATTTCGGTCGCTTCCGTTTCAACGATTTTTTAGGGAGAGAGAAAGTCTATGGACTCTGGAGTGAGCAATATAAACAATAAAAATTTGTTTTTTGTCATCTAATTTTTTTCAATTTCTATACATAGTTGATTTGACCCGAACACTTGCTGAACATCACTAGGGGTACACCACATATACACCAAACCAAAAATAAGCACACACAGATACTTAATGTCTGTGCATGCACAAACATTAAGTATCTATGTGTGCCAATTTTATACGTGTAATATATATAATCAACAAACAAATAAATTTTTGATTTGTATGTACTTATTTGTTTGGAGCTTTTTATTTTGACTTATTATGTTTGTAGTATTGTAAAAAAAGATATGTAAATTATTATTCTATCTCCATCGATAGTCTCAATCCCAATTAATTTGCACTTCACTACCAAATTTGACACAAACAAATAATATATATATTTTAATTTATCAAATGATCAATATAAAATTACGTTAAAAAAAATAGTGAGAATCTCAAACAGTAAAAATAATTTAAAGGGTGAGGGAGAAATTAATTGACAGAAAGCACACCCCACGTCCCCCCACTCAAGTAATCCCAAATGCAAAGTTTTAGACCCACAAGTGTTAACTTAGAGGTGGTTGGCATTTATTTTTATTAGGTTGAAAGGGGTGTTAAGGCATTCAATACTGGGTGGGATTGGTGGTGAATGGTAAAAAAAAACACATTTTGAATTGACTATTGAGTGAATTGATGATATACTATTATTATTATAGTGCTATAATTCAGTCTTGCACCGTTGCACTCATGTAAGGAGTGTCTTCTTCTCTAATTATAGGGACGGTCCTCGTGACACTGCCAGACAATATTATGAGCTGATTCGGGGGTGCATCAGTGCCCGTTCGTATCGTAATGCATAACGAGAATTTTATTTATGAACGGAGCATATATATTTCCTAGGGGTGTAAACGGATATTAATCGGATCGGACGTGCCATTACCAAATCCGTATCCATTTATTTTTGTCAGATATTGAATTCGGATACGGATCTTGAAGAATACTGAAAATCAAAACCGTATCCGCATCCGTCGGATACCGATCGGATATCGGATAAATCTGTATCCGTTTCTAATTTTTAAAACCAAATTAAACAATACTTTAATTTTAAATTAGATTAAAGTCAAACTATTATTAAATCAACTATAAGTTGGTATGAGATTATTATTTTCTTTGTTTTCATGATTTATAATATTTTACGATAACTTCATATGATAAAACGATATACACAGCACACATATACACATATTTTTATATGTCTGTATTTATTTTTACGTGTCTACACATTTATTTTGTATATAAAAATGTCTTATATTTTGAAATATCAATAGAGAAACAAATTATAAACATAAAAAAATTAGGAAAAGCTATATATAACGGATCAGATATTCGGATAAACGGTTATTTAAACGGATGCATATTCAGACCGGATTTTAAACGGATCGGATATACAATTACCATATCCGTATCCGTTTAGTAATCGGATATCCTTAATCGGATACGGATAATATCCGTTTAAAACGGATGCGAATATTTCCTGACGGTAATCGGATTTTCGGCTATCCGTTTAGAGTCCCTAATATTTCCTTATACACATGGTCAATTTGATCCTAGTTTATTCCGTACGAGTGGGGGACACCATTGAGCCATTTGGTCCAAAATCGACACAACACATCAATTAATCACAATGAAACAAATTGGGTGTGTGATACAAAGTGGATTTTGATTATTATTCCATTAATAATAATAATAATTATTATTATTAATACTATTATTATTACTATTATTATTATTATTATTATTATGTTTATAGAATACAATACAAGTCTCCTGTTATTTCAAATTTTCTCATCAAATTATATTTTCCACGTATATTCTTTTGGACTCATCAAAGCCTCAAAGCCATCTTTTTCTTGCTTACTCTATATTTCAACCATTTGTCTTTGTTTTTGTTCTTTTGTTGGGTTTTCTTGTTGCAATTTGTATTCATAGTCAAACCTCATATTGTCGAAATTGTCAATCCACAGCTCATAAAAGGAAATCATTATCTATATTTGTATTAGTAAAGGACAATCCAACCACATTCCTAGGGTCCCACAACACATATACTCTCTACGTCCTGTTTTGACTTTTTTTATCAAATAGTGACACGCGTTGACTATATATTCTGAAAAAAGTATATTGAATTATAATATAAATTTAATTTAATTAAGTTTATCTTAAGTTAACATTTCTCTCATTAGATTGTGTTTAATTTGTGGTCAAAGAATGTCACTATTTGACTTTAAAAAGTCGAACAGGAAGAGTTTTCAAAGATTGGGGGAGCATACTATATTGGACATTTAAACGAGAAGATAGATAGATGTAAGTTGAGTTCTAATTTTAATTTGACAAATACAGAGTGAAACCTGCTCTGCTGCGCATGCATATAAAGTTCATTAGACGTTATCATTAGTCAAATCAGGACATTACCCTTTTTACGCTTCTTCTTTCTTTCATCCATCCCAATGTCTTTCTCTAGTTTGACTAGTTAGTGTCAAAGTGGATAACATTTGATAAATGATAAAATGTTTTGAAAAATAATAAAAGCAATTAAGAACAAAAAAGGAAAGGCGTGAAGATGTGAAAACAAAATCTATAGTGGAAATTTATATATCATGTTTGATTGAACACCAATAATGCCCCCCATGATATGCATGCATTATTGTCTATCATTTTGCATGATTCCCATAATCTCCCTTATAAGTTTTATCTCGAGGGCTTCTTTACAAACATCTTTTTGAGCTACTGTACGTCGATAGACCCCCCAAAACTCAACATCAAGATGAAAAAGAAAGCTTAACGTGTCATTTTCATTTTCATTTACTCTTGAATTTTTCAAAAATTGTATGAATTCACCCAAACTTTAAAACTTACACCAATGTTTCCTGAATTTTTAAAAATGTTGCACCAATGGTCACTCTGTGCCAGATTTGGGAGTGCATTTATCACACGCACATCTAGGACAAGTATGGTCATATAAAGTCATATATCACACGTGAGTTTTGCAATATATCTTTGCCAGACGTGATTTTCTATATTTTAAACATTTTTAAACCCTAAATAATTATTCTCAATTTAGTTGTCACTAACCAAATTTGAAGGACGGACATCAGTCGATAAAGCTCGTCATTAACCGATCAACCTCTTCCTCAATCCATGACATCTTCATCAAGCTCCAACACATATATTGATGAGCGTGTGATTATCGCACTTTTAAATCTGGCACAGAGAGACCGTTGGTGCAACATTTTTAAAAATTCAAGGGGATTGGTGTAATTTATTAAGTTCGGAGTAATTCGTGCAATTTTCAAAAACTTCAAAGGTAAACAGCCCAAAAAACTCTTTTCATTTAGCATATTATTTACCCAAAGAAATGGAATTTATGAATATCATCCTCTGGGAACTCATATTAACTACTCCCTCCGTTCAAATAAACACTTTCTCCTTTCTTTTTTCTCCTCCTACAAAATCCTTTCCTTTTCTATTAAAAAAACATTTTTGCCACTACTAATTCTTAACATATGTATCACATCATACATTTTTACTAAAATTCTACCCATCACATCTTAGTTTTATCCATCACATTAAGAGTATTTTTGGAAAGTCAACACAAAAGTATCCATCCATTAAATTTCCTAGAAGTCAAAACCGGAACATCTTAATGAGACGGAAGAAGTATATATCTAATGCCACGACCACTACTAGAAGAAATTAAATTCTTGATAATGAAGATGGAGATATTTTTTTGATATACAAAATTATATGAATAAACTATTTCTCTAAGCA